ATTCTAACGACCGGAAAATGGGGCAAATATCGTGCGGTAGCTGGCGGCTGTTCATCTGAGAGTACCTTTCGTAAATATTCCTTTTCAACATAGGTCTAAATAGTTGCTTGATATTCTTCGGCGACGCGGCTGTTTTTCTTCAGATTTCTTTCGGTGCTTGGGAGGCGAGAGAGTGCCATGGGTTTAGTGTCAGGGAGATCGGGTTTGTTTTCTTTCCAAGGAACGGCTACACGATATCTTCCATTTTCGTACTTGAGGGAATCTTTCTTTTTGCCTAGGGCTAGTCTTTCTTCTTCGGCGAGTACGAGTCTGCCATCGCGGTCTGTGCCAGACTTTTCGATTTCCCAGAATCTCTTTAAGCTGTTGTCGACGTCACTACAGGATTCTATTCCCTCGCTCCAAATAGGTTCTCTACTGAACAGGGAACGGATAACGTGAGATCGTGTTCTCGCGGTCTCGCTTTCCTCGGGCGCACCAATACAGCTCTACCCAAGTTGAATAATGGAGTTCAGAGTTATCAATGCCAATCAAAAGATCGACAAGTCCATCATTTGCCGGCTTAGGAAAATTGCACTGGGTCAGATGCAGCCATTTATTCTGATGGTTGTTCCAGATCACAACTCTGTAATTGCCAGTAACTTTCTGCGGACACGTTTTTGCGCTTATTTCCTTTGAAAACCTGCCATCTACACTTTCGACTTCAATTTTTATTGGCATGGACTGAAATGTTTCGACAGTGTCATTGAGCACATAAACTTGAACTTTTCCGAATGGCTCTTGCAGTCCCAGTCAGCAACCGCTTCGTTTTGGAAAGTTTTGTACGATGTTCGATGCATCGTCTGGGATTACTTTTCTTCCATTAGACTTCATCCACATAGGGACAGTTCATAACAAATAAGACTAAGTGAGCGTTTCTGCATTACAGCTGGTCAGGGTCACAGCGGGCGCCCCCTCCCGTGGAGCATCTGGGCGTTTCTCATCGTCAGCATGAGGCAACATTGTCATCGGTCCGGTTTCTGACAAAGCTTCACTTCCATGAAGAAGGCGGTGGTGATTTCGAGAATAACCATCTATTCCATACGTGCGGGCCTTTAGGCAATCTTTCCCCCAATGATCAGAGGCTAGGCAACGAAAACACAACTGTTTTTCTTTAGCGATCTTCCAGCGGTCATCCACTTCTGTGTCATAAAACTCCTTGGAAAACCACACCCCGTGATCGAAACTCTGGCAGAGAGAACACGGAAGCTTCGTACTATTTGGCTCTTTCCCTATTGCAGCAGTATGAAAATTTCGCATCCTGCTCTGTTCCTGGTAACTCGGTACTCTCGGTACTCTCGGTGGTCTAACGTGCTCGACAGGTTTCGGTTCAATTCCGTTGGCCATTTCCGCTGCTTCTATTTGGAATCTGACTTCGTCTTTCAACCAGTCTCTGAAAGCTATGACTGAATTTTGTCTGGCGCGTTCGTTCAACCATCGACTGTAATTTTCCAGCTAGCGATCAGGTAACTTTTTCACCAGCAAGCTGTGAAGAGTTCCATCTTCTAACTCTCCGTCTCTTCTTTCGGCCTGTTACTTTACCACTGTAACAAACTTCTCCAATGCGTGAATGTCGTTACTTCTTATTAACGGCGCCTGTTCTAGTTCCAAGTAGGCTCGCGGAAGCCGGCGCGTACCTCCATACTTTGTTTTTAATATGTCTTTGGCCTCTTCCCATTCTTGGACGGTGACTCCGAGACCACGGATGGCTTCCCAGGCGTTCCCTGTGAGGCATTGGTGTAGCCTTGCCATCTTCAAATTTACTGACTCCGTTGACTCGTCCACTAGACTTTTAAAGAGGGCCCAAAAATCTTCAAACTTTCTTTTGTCACCATTGAATGTCGGAACTTTTAACGGCTTCAAATATCGGTTTCGGTCGTTGTGGCTGTGGTGACTCTCGTTTAGCTAATCTTCTCGGGCCGATTGCTCGTAGCGATCCGTCGTGTTCTCGCTTAAGGGCGTGTTCATATTCATGACTTTGCACGCGCGGACTTTGATCGCATTTTGTCCCGCTTCGATCGCTCTTTGTACGTCTTTTTGGATGGTTTCTGACTTTTTAAAAGCTTCTTTTTTCCCAGTGTCTTCTCCGACTTCGACATAGAAGGCGGACAGTTCCCCTAAAATTTCTTGTACGTCTTCAAGGGCTGCCCACAACTGCTCGATCATACTTCCTATGTCCGTTACTTCGGAATCCTTCACCCATAGTCTTTCTAACTCGTGTCTGAGTTTTGTTACTTTTGTCTTAGCGGAGCGTTTTCTTCTTTTAATCTGAATGAACAGAACGTCGTTTTGTTTCTGTTTGTCGACTTCATTCGCAATTTCGTCATTTTTCTCGATAACATTGCTGTCGTCGGATTCGGCAGCCATAGTGCACAACTCAAAACTCAAAAACTCAAATCGCAAACGAAACCTCAAACAAACACCAGTTCATACCTTTCTCCCATCGTAGTCGCCAGAAATGTTCGGAAGCGATAACGAAAATCTCCTTTAAAAGCAGGCACGTTTAATCGCTAAAAATAAAAGTAAAACGGTAACGGCTTAAAATACATACTCAAAAACAAAAACCTCCAAAATGCGATTAAAACTGAAAAAAAAACCACGCGAGAAATCTTACGCGTAACTTGCTTACGAACTGGTCAAATTTAAATGTCTCGGCGCACGCGCGCTAATCGCACTACACGCCAGTCCGGCACTTTCTTCTTAAGAGAAGAAATTCAATGAAACAAGGCCACATTAAGTCTCCTTGTGTCTCGTTAGAGTTTATCATTCGAATTTACTTTTTGTGGAGGAAAGAACAGATTTACACACGCCATTACAGCAAACAAACCAGCAAACTCTCACAACTTCAAAATAAACAATTTGAATTTACTTAGAATTACTTTCCTCGCCGTTAATGAACATAGGTAAATCTTGGTACATAAATTAATCATCGATGAGAGTGAATAATACTTTCCGTTAGATTATTGACTGTTTTGGAAGAAAACGTTGTCGTGATAGTTCTTGCCAAACTAGTTTTGTTGTTTTTCAAATGTGTACGTGCGCTTTCTTTTTCTTACGTGCTCTCTAATTGACAGGTGTCAGATTGTGATAGATGCTTGTAAAAATAATGTTTCAAAGTTTGTTTGGAAGCCTTTTAAATAAACTTTATCATTACGCAAATGGAAATGTTTCGGTGAAGCATCTCCCTTTAATTTGCATCACCTCTATTTTAACTACCATTTACTCGCTCAAAAATTGTTCAGTTTATGGAAGATCTTGCCGTATTTAAAGCCCTAAACCATTCGGGTTCTTTCGGAAAGAATTTCGTTAAGTTTAAAAAATATACACGTTATTTACCGGCTAATGGTCGGTCCAACTATTTTCAGAGCGTAAAACACAGTTGCTGTTTTTGGTCTCCTGGCCTGTTCGAGTTTTGAACTGCGAGTTTTTAACATGAGTTCTTAGAAAGTTGTCTCCAAACATTTCCACCAAACAAAAAAAAAACAAGACTTTATCGATAAACTTCAAATGGCGAAATTAACTTACCTGGGTTGGGAAACTAACGCTACAAAACATCTGAAATTATATTGATTCATTCTTGACGACCAGAAGAGACAGACATCACATACCTCCATGAAACAGCTTGCCAATGGTAGATTTCTATCGCGATTTTCTTTTTTACAACAGTAAAGCTGTACTGCTTAAATATGCGGCGAAAGTGTAATTTGTTTCGACTAGTTTCTTCACGCTGTCGTGACATATAGTGATGACGTGCTTTTTTCAGCGATAATAAATATTCTAAATGTGACCATTAATTGGGTTTTAGGTGAGTGGAAAGTTTCGTGTTTTCTGAATCAAAATTTCTTTTTTATTATCAATAAGTGTAAAGACCAAAATGGAAGCCTGGCTGATATCCTTCGCGGGGTAATGATGTGATGTGCTTTAAGTTTTATTGACAATCATGCGCACGCGCAGAGTTAAAAACAGTTCAAGACAATCTCTCATCTCAACATCTCAGGGGAAACCCACTGGTGTTTGACCGTCGTCCGTGTTCAAGGGCTGGGGAATTTGAGCCTTTGCCTGGCTGGGGTGGGGAATTTGAACCGAAAGTGGCATGTCTTTCCAGCAGAGATTTGGTCGAGGGGTAGAAAGTCACGGTTGTAGAATTTGCCTTTTACGAAAAAGTTAGGTGGGTTGGGCATTTGAACAATTTTGCCTCGAGGAGGAGCAAAGAATTTGTTTAAACCGATGTTCAAAAGCTCAAATGCCCAGGGGTTTGTCCGCGGGAGGATACTGAAGCTTGGATTTGAACGATACATGAGAAGGAAACTCGAAACTGGTGAACAGTTGAAATTTTTCTGTCTCCATAAACACCTTGGGGCCGGACTCGATCACGAAGTGAGGCAATATTGTACAAGGACATCAAAAACTCAAAGGAGAGACTCAACAGACTCAGTACTATTAACATTTTATTAAATAAGGCTTAGCATTTAAGGTTACAAAGGTTACTTTCGTGCTTTAGTACTTGACTTTCCGATCCTGTCTGTTGTTAATGTTGCCGCAATGACTTATTTGCCATTTCTATCTTACTCATATCATTATGTTGTTCTGTTTTCTTCATATTTTGCTTATTTTCTGTTTTGTTTGTTTATTTTGTTTATTTTATTCGTTTATACATTTTCTTTGCTGTGTTAAATTTCTTTTTTTTTCTGTTTTTTCTTTAGCCATTATTTTTTTAAACTCTTTGGATATATTTTGCTTTGAATTTACTTGTGCTCTTAGCACTTTTTTCTTTCAAGTCTGATAGACTGTTTGTTTTTTTTTTTTTTTTTTTTTTTTGCTTGCTTGTTCTTTTTTTTCCTTTTTTTTTTAGCTTTTAGCTAATAAGAATTTTGGTCATTTATTTGTTTGTTTTGCTTAACCGTTGTTTTTTTTTTGTCTTTTTTTTTACGTTTCTTGTTTCAAACTTGCAACTCATGGTAAAGTTAAAGGTGTTTGGTGACAAAATCCGGTATACCTGCAAACAAATGGCAGAAAAAAATTACCACAATTAGTGATTTTTCTCTTTATTCCAGCATGTATTTTAGATATTTATACATTGATTACCACCCTGTTCTATAAGTCTCACCTTGGATATCATGAAGGTACCTTTTGGACGTTGTCATAGCAATCCTTTGCTTCATTTCTCTACTGCAAAAACATTCAACAAATTTCAGATTAAGATCGGGAGAGGACAGGAGAGCTTAATTGTTAAGCGCTGGGCAGGAGGGAGGTTTCAATCAGCCAATCACCTTCCAATTTTGTAGTTTAAATCAAGAGCGACATTAAACAATTTACGCCTCCTTTGTCAGTCGATTAATGCAAAGTTTCCCTTTCTTTCATTCCTAGGCTTTTCTTCTTCTCTCAGAAATTGTAATTGTTATGATTAATTGATAGTGTAGACTTCGTGTCGTCCAATTCGGTTGTAAGTAACCGTACTCATCGCGTTCGTCCAATTTTGTTATCACTCGTATTATTACAGACCGAACTGGATTCCATTAAATCCTGCTAACATTACTAATTGTATTATTTCGTCTCTGAATAACTTTGCATATGAAATAATTGTTTTTTGCTTGTCAAATCCTTCTTTGTCTAAATTTTTTTCAAAACGGATACAACAAATATTTACACTCACTTGAGAAATGGACGGAGGAGAAGACCAAGTGCCTTCAGTTTCCTTTGTGGTTTGAAGATGATGCATTTAGACAAGCGATCCAGGAAACTGAAATAGAAAAGAAATAGAGAATAATACATAGGTGCGAGTAGATATGGAATTTATCTTCGATTGTTTGACTTTTCACTGACTCCTGAGTGAGAAAACAGAATTTTGACGTCAAAGAATCTATATCATGTTTGCTTGCTTCTCAAAATCATTTGGATTACCCGGTCTTTAGTTTTTGATAGATTTTTGTTCTCAGCTCATCCTTGATGGTGCATTTTTCACTGCCGCCATGAACGACAATCAAAAAGTGATGCGTGTCCACGTACGTGAGGATAAAAGCTTCAAGGTATCTGCAAAAAAAAAGACATTCTATTGTTGGTAACCGTTGTGCAAACATATTACACGATGCAACATAGAGCCGATTGGAAAGAGGCTAATCGGACACGAGATTTGATAATTCATAATAGCACGAGAAATCCGAATTCAGTAATTGTTTCACTAAACATTTTCTTGCGCTTAAGACTGAGCTTATATGATTTTGATACTTACGAGATGAATTCTCTCACGGCCTGTTTAAATTCCTTCTTATTTTTGAAATGTTCTTTCTTCGGAAGTTTATCTGTATCTATAAAGATGATATCTTTGCCATCTTCTGTTTTAACACCTACAAAAAAAAAAAAAAGAAAAGAAATGACTTGTATTTACATCAAAACTGAGAGGCATACAGCGCACAAGTCTAAGACCTTACTGACGTGTGATAGTATCATTTCATTTCATCCTGGAGTGCCATCAAAAATAAACCAAAAAAGGCAAAATAAGGCAGTTGCAAATAAATTTTTCTGGCCTTGGTTTTAAAAATCAGTATGAAACCCTAAAGCTTTATACAGTCTTGAGCTTAAATGATAAATGAATCAGTACCCAGACGATATAAGGCGTCTTCATATTGATTGGACTCTGGAACCTCCCTGTCAAATAGGATCTCTTCCGTGACTTGGTCATCCTGTGCGTTATCACAGCCGGGGCTTTCCTGCGCAGATGTGGTCACCGGTGTTGCGAATGGCTCCTTGTTTTTAAATGCTTAAATCAAGAATAGCTTTTAGTTTTGTTTTCTCTCTTTAACCTATCAATAAAACTTGTTACAGTCCTATTTGAGATCTTAAATTTTAATATTTTTGACAAGAATAAAGAATGTTAACTACACATCTGTGGAGAAACCCAATTCAAAAAATAGGTATGTTTTCTTAACGGAAAGTAGCTTAAATGAAACCAAACAAATGCTACATACTATTGTAATTAATCACCAAGTTTAAAATATTTTCACACGTCTAATTGCAATCGTTTCCAGATTGAAAAAAAAAAGATCTAGCACGGTGAACATAGAACAAGAGTGTCGAAAGTGATCTGCAAATTCCATTGAATATACCTTACAACGCTGTGTGATTGGTCAGGGAAACTCGCCACACTGTTTTAACCAATCAGATGCAGGACAACACTTAAAACAACCAATAAGGGCTTCCGACCAATTGACTCCGGTTAAACTAACAGCAAATAACAAACACATAAGTTCTTCTTATTAGCTTTATATAAAACTTACGACTTCCTCCGTCCAGGTTTGAGCTTCCACATTTATATGTCGGCCACTTTCCTTTCCGGGCTAAAAATATTGGGGGAAAATATGTATAAGATATGTAAGTAAGTTACTTTGAATATTTAGAGAAAGAAAAAGGACAAAGGATGAGGTTACTCATCCTGAACGATACACGAGGCGTAAAGATGACCAGTAGAACGAAACCTCCACATAATGACATTGGAGGTGGCTACACCATGCAACAAACGATTTATTTTATGACTTATATTGATTTTTTACGTATATGTAAGTTGTTATAGCCTTGCCTCACTTAGCTTCGCTTTGCCCGCCCTGCTAAGATTACCCCTTTACCGCCTTGAAATCGAATCCAATCCTTTAAAAAACACATGATGACCGTAATAGGCTATTTACTAGTGTTTGTGACTTTCATAAGGTGTAAAGCCTTGTTGTGTGCATCACTTTCCCTACTTTTAGGACTTACAAGGCCCAATTTCCAACGGTTCCACAGCGTTTTTGTCTAGAAAAGACAGCGGATATTTTCTGTTGCTTTGTTGCTTGGCGCAATCCTCATCTGATTGTCCCTGATGCACAACAGTAAATGTTGCAAGTGTTAATGTTTTTGACGGAGGATGTTTCGATGAAGTATTTCAAAGCATGTTTACGATGCTTAATGTAAAGGAGGCTGTACTCAGGCTGGGATAAAAACTTGTGAAATTAAAGGGTGCCCGCCGAATTTCTAACTCCGAAACTTTGTTCTTTATTATAAACGATTGCTATTTAGGTCATTAGCCTTCGTACTTTCCAAGTTACAGTTATTTTATTCCATCACCTTAGCTTACGAGAGAATATTGACACAGTGGCATTTATTTATACAAGATCGATAGAGGGCTAAGCGCGCTCAGCCTTTTCTGGTGCGTCTCTAGAAGCGATTACTGCATCCTCGTGAGTATATTTAGCCTGAGAGTAAACGTGCGAGGTCTCATCCTTTCACTTTCACTTTCACTTTCACTGTTTGAGGTAATGTATATCTTACCTCAGAACTTTTGTCGTCCTCTGATGTTTCATCCTTCACTCTCCACGCCGCGAGGTTGGAGAACATTGCCATACCAAAGGATGTGCTTGGCTCAGCATCAGGAAAGTTGTTCACCACATTGTCCTGCTTTGCAGGACTGTCCTTCTTCTAAGGAATAACAAAAAAAATGTCAAACTGAGCTGCAGATTCGCCAGAGGAGAACCAGTTATAGCTACAAGACTAGAAGCAGCCACGCCCACAACATATCTTCATATGATATTTGCTGAAGAAAATAAAGTTTCCTGTTGTAATATTTCGTCCGCAGAATCTTTGCACGGGTTTAGAGAAATCTCTAAGGCTCTATTTATCTCTTTGGTAGATACCATTGCTTTGGTAGTTAATTATAACATGTGCCGCATTCACGTGCTTCAGATACCCGGTTTAGACTAACAGTCATAAATGCAGATTGATTTCAATAGATTATTAGGCATAAAAACTGTTTCGATTGGATACAGCTTATTACAGACCTCTTCTGGTGAACAGGGACGAGGCTCTGCCGAGTTTTCAACTGTATCGAGGCTATCGTCTGCGGCGGCAAAATGCTAGAAAAAAAAGAACATCTACATAAATTAAATTTCCTTAACATCAATGTAAGATGGTTTACGTTTTACAGATTGATTTCAATAGATTATTAGGCATAAAAACTGTTTCGATTGGATACAGCTTATTACAGACCTCTTCTGGTGAACAGGGACGAGGCTCTGCCGAGTTTTCAACTGTATCGAGGCTATCGTCTGCGGCGGCAAAATGCTAGAAAAAAAAGAATATCTACATAAATTAAATTTCCTTAACATCTATGTAAGATGGTTTACGTTTTACAGATTGATTTCAATAGATTATTACGCATAAAAACTGTTTCGATTGGATACAGCTTATTACAGACCTCTTCTGGTGAACAGGGACGAGGCTCTGCCGAGTTTTCAACTGTATCGAGGCTATCGTCTGCGGCGGCAAAATGCTAGAAAAAAAAAAGAATATCTACATAAATTAAATTTCCTTAACATCAATGTAAGATGGTTTACGTTTTACAGATTGATTTCAATAGATTATTACGCATAAAAACTGTTTCGATTGGATACAGCTTATTACAGACCTCTTCTGGGGAACAGGGACGAGGCTCTGCCGAGTTTTCAACTGTATCGAGGCAATCGTCCGCGGCGGCAAAATGCTAGAAAAAAAAAAGAATATCTACATAAATTAAATTTCCTTAACATCAATGTAAGATGGTTTACGTTTTAAAGATTGATTTCAATAGATTATAACGCATAAAAACTGTTTCGATTGGATACAGCTTATTACAGACCTCTTCTGGTGAACAGGGACGAGGCTCTGCCGAGTTGTCAACTGTATCGAGGCAATCGTCCGCGGCGGCAAAACGCTAGAGAAAAAAGCACATCTACATAAATTAAATCTCCTTAACATCAATATAGGATGGTTTACGAGCCACTGTTCCGGTCCCGTAAACGGAATTAACTCCTAAAAAGATTCAAGAAAACAACATAATGGTCTCGTATTGAGGTTCAAACGTCTCACAAGGTTATTATAATATCAAGATAAACCATTGCCTTCTGCTACAGTCCTACCTCAATGGATGCTTTTCTGGGCTCTTTACTGGCATATTCTTCGGTAGAAAGTCTTTGACTATTCCTTCGTTCCGTATTATCCGTCGGACACAATGCTAATGCACAGGACTTGACCGAGACTGCCGAGGCATTATCCCCTGAAGGCTGCGAATAAGTGAGATGCTTATAATAACGATTGCAGGATGTCGGACAGCAGTTCCGAACAGGATGGAATCTCTAGCCTCTCCAGGCTTAGAGTCAATAATTATTAGGTATGTGCAAGCAATAATCTTATGAAACTGTGCGCTTGTTTATTTTTTTCCTCTCTTTTTTTTAGAACCAAAAGATTTCAGAGAAATTAGTGCAGTTACGAGACTCGTTCAAACCCGTTTAAAAGGTAATGCACTCCTAGAATAGACAACGCCCTTCTCCAACCAAACGGCTTAGTAAATACGGTTGATCTTTTTTCTGACTGAGTGCACATTTGACTCAAGAAAGCTGTGAAATCACTGTTGGAATCACGACCTTAAATTTATGTCTGTTAAAACCTAAACCAATCATTCGAAGTTTCGGAATTAACGCCAAATACAAAGTGCCAACTATTTTCAGAGCGTAAAACACAATTGCGTGCTGGTAAATCTGTTACCGGGTCTCCTAGCATGTTCAAGTTTTTGACTGCGAGTTTTTCAAAAGGAGTCCCTAAAAAGAGTTTTCTCCAAACGTTTCCATAAAATAAAAAGAAAACACAAACAAACACGACTTTTTCAATAAACTTTAAATGGCGAACCTATCTTAACTGCGTCGGGAAACTAACGCGACAAAACATCTGAGATCATATTGATTCATTCTAGAGGAAATTCTGACGACCAGAAGAAACAAGCATTCCCCACATACCTCCATCAATGGAAATGCCAAAAGCAGATTTCTGATGCGATTTTCTTTTTACGACAATAAAGCTGTAATGCTCAGAGAAGCGAAGAAAAAGAATTTGTTTCAATTAGTCTCGTCACGCTGTCGTAACAAATGGTGATGACGTGTCCTTTTCCAGCGATAATAAATATTCGAAATGTAATCAATAATTGGGTAATAAGATGAGTGGAAAGTTTCGTGTTTCCTGAATTAGAATTTCATCTTATTCATCAATAATTGTAAAGAGGTCAAGACCAAAATGGAAGCCTGGCTGATATTCTTAGCGGGGTAACGAGGTGATTTGCTTTAAGTTTTATCGAAAATCATGTGCGCGCACAGAGTTAAAAACAGTTAAAGACAATCTCCCATCCCAAGATCTCAGGGGAAAGCCACTGGCATTTGACCATCGTCTGTGCCCAGGGACTAGGGAATTTGAACCTTTGCCTGGCTGGGGTGGGGAATTTGAACCGAAGTGTCAAGCAGCGGTTTAGTCGACGAGTAGATAGTCACGGTCGTCGATTTTGCCTTCTACGAAAAACTTGGGTGGGGCATTTCAACAATTTTTTTCCTCTAGAAGGGGGGGGGAGAGATATGAACAAGCCAATCATCAAAAGCGAGGGTGCCTAAAGGTTTGTCCGGGGGAGGATGTTGAAGATGGACAACTCAAAACGGGAGAACAATTGAGATTTGCCTGTCTTCATACACGCCTTAGGGCCCGACTCGATCACGAAGTGAGGGAATATTGTACAAGGACATCAAAAACTCGTATAAAGCTTAAAGGAGGGACTCAATAGACTCAGCTATCTTTTTATTAAGCAAGGCTTAGCAATTCTGCAGCGTGGGGTGGGGGAGGGGATTTGCCCAAACCAATCTTCAAAAGTTCAACTGCCTGAGGGTTTGTCCCGGGGAGGATGTTGAAGCTTCGATTTGATCGACGCGCAAGAAGGAAACTCAAAACGGGTTAACAACTGAAATTTGCCTGTCTCCATAAATGCCTTGGGGCCACACTCGATAAGGAAGTGAGCCAACATTGCACGAGAACATCAAACGCTCGTAAGAAGCTCACAGGAGAGACTCAATAGACTCAGTACTATTTACATTTTATTAAGTAAGGCTTAGCATTTAAGGTTACAACGTTTTCAGTACAGGTACAAACATTTTGTACATTTTATAGTAGTTCTATAACGGTAGTTTACATGTTCCGCGAATTCGTAAAATCTTCTTTTTGTACGAAAAGAAGATTTTAGGAATTCGCAGAGCAGGTTGGAAAACTGCAAAGATAACAGCCGTCTCGCCCTACTCGTTCAGCATAATTTATGCATCAGTACTTGACTTTCAGATCCTGTCTTCCTCGTATATTTATTTTGAATTTTATCATTACTGTCTTTTTATATTTGTAGTTTTTTTTAATAATTCTTTTATTTTCTTTGCTGCCGATGTTAATTTCTTTTCTGTTGTTTCTTTAGCCCTCATTTTTTTTATTCTTTCAATATCTTTTGCTTTGGATCTACTTGTGCTCTTAGTACTTTTTCTTTTAAGTCTGCAAGACTGTTTTTTGTTTGCCTGCTTGTTCTTTGAGTGTTTGACTACTCGCTGGCTCATGAGTGAGACAACAAAATACTGACGACAAAGGATGTATATCACATTTACCTACTTATCCAAACTCATTTAGATTACCCATTAAAGAAACATACCAAAAACTTAAGAATATTCTTCGATTTCTGGTAGATCTCTTTTCCGAGCCCATCCTTGAAAGCGCGTTTTTCATTTTTTTATTTGATTGTCAGTGGCACTGCTTCCGCCATGAATGACTATAAAAAAATTATGCGTGTCCACGAAAGTGAAGATAAAGACATTCGATCGTTGGTAACCGTTGTAGAAACGGATTACATGTTGTAACATCTTTTACGGCCCATCAAAAAAAAAAACGTAAGGCCTAATTGGAAAGAGGCTAATCAGACACGAGGTTTGATAAATTATGGTAGCCTGAGAAAACCGAATTCAGTGATTGTTTCATAATTCATTTTTTGACGCTTAAGACTGAGCTTATACGATTTTGATACTTACGAGGTCAATTCTCTCACGGCCTGTTTGAATTCCTTCCTAGGTTTGAATTTTTTTGCAGGAGTTCGAACCGCAGATGACAAATTTGCCATCTGCTGTTCGAACCCCTGCAAAAAAAATTGACAAGAAATTGCATGTATTTATGTCAAAACTGAGAGGCATCCAGCGCACAAGTCTAAGACTAGACTGAGATGTAAAAACATCATTTCATTTCATCCCTGAGTGCCATCAAAAATAAACCCAAAAAAATAAGGCAGTTGCAAATGAATGTTCTGGTCTTGGTTTTCAAAACTCATTATGAAACCCTTAAGCTTTATACAGTCTTGAGCTTGAATAATGAATGAATCAGTAGCCATATTGATTGGACTCTGACACTTCACTGTTAAACAGGATCAAATAGGATCTCTTCCGTGACTTGGTCTTCCTCTGCTTCGGTCATATTACGCACGAAAGCACTGGGGGCTGTCCTGCGTAATATTACAGAAGCTGGATGAAGATCTTTGATAAACAAATGCTACAGACATTTAATTAATTAATCACTAAGTTTAAAATATTCTTACACGTCTAAGTGCAATTTTTTCAGATTGAAAATAAGATCTATCTTAAAAAAAATTGAATTGCAACTCTAAGAGAACCGTTGCAGTGTAGGACGGTGAACACAAGAGTGTCGAAAGCGATCTGCAAATTCCATTGAATATACCTTAAAACGCTGAGTGATTGGTCTGGGAAACTGACATACAACAGAGCAATACTAACACTACGTAAAAACACTTACAGTCGTTATGTATATCACATTTGTCTGCTTATCCAGAATCATTGAGATTGCCCATTAAAAAAATATACAAAAAACTAAAGAATATTCTTCAATTTCTTGTATATCTCTTTTCCGAGCCCATCATTGATAGCACATTTTTCACTGCTTCCGTCATGAACGACAAAAAAAATAATGCGAGTCCACGCTAGTGAGGATAAATGCCTCAAGGTATTTACAAAAGTGAAAGACATTCTATCGTTGGTAACCGCTGTATAAACGGATTACATGTTGCAATATCTTTTAGGACCTATCAAAAAAAAAAAAAGAAAGAAAGAAATAAACGTAGGGCCTGATTGGAAAGAGGCTTAACAGACACGAGGTTTGATAATTCATGATAGCATGAGAAAACCGATTTCAGTAATTGTTTCATAATTCATTTTTTTACACTTAAGACTGAGCTTATATGATTTTGATACTTACGAGGTCAATTCTCTCACGGCCTGTTTGAATTCCTCCCTATTTTTAAAGTGATCTTTCTTCGGAAGTCTGTCTGTATCTATAAAGATGATATCATTGCCATCTGCCGTTCAAACTCCTGCAAAAAAAAAAAGTTGACAAGAAATTGCATGTATTTATATCAAAACTGAGAGGCATCCAGCGCACAAGTCTAAGACCTGACCGACGTGCAATAAAATTATTTCATTTCACCCTTAAGTGCCATCAAAAATGAACCAAAAAAGCCAAAATAAGGCAGTTGCAAATGAATGTTCTGGCCTTGGTTTTCAAAACTCATTATGAAACCCTTAAGCTTTATACAGTCTTGAGCTTAAATAATGAATGAACTGCAGTAGCCATATTGGTTGGACCCTGACACTTCACTGTTAAACAGGATCAAATAGGATCTCTTCCGTGACTTGGTCTTCCTCTGCTTTGGTCAAATTACGCAGGACATCCCCGGGAGCTGTCCTGCGTAATATTAACGAAGGTGGATGAAGATATTTGATAAACAAATGCTACATACTGTAATCAATCACTATGTTTAAAATATTCCTACACGTCTAGTTGCAATCTTTTTCAGATTGAAAATAAGATCTATTGAATTACAACTCCAAGGGAACCGTTGCATCCTAAGGACGGAGAATATAGAACAAGAGAGTCGAAAGAGATCTGCAAACTCCGTTGAATATAACTTATAACGCTGCGTGATTGGTCAGGAAAACTCGTCACACCGTTTTAACCGATCAGATACAGGACAACACTTAAAACAACTAATAGGGTTATCGAACAATTGACGCTGATTAAACTAACAGCTCATAACAAACACATCAGTTCGTCTTAGCAACTTTATTTAAAACTTACGACTTCCTCTGTCCTGGTTTGAGCTTCCACATTTATATGTCGGCCATTTTCCTTTCCGGGCAAAAAATATTGGGGG